TCACTTTAGCTTTATTATTTACAAGTTAAATTACACAGCAGCTTTACAGCATGAGAAGGAAAGGAAAGAGACAGATGAGAGGAGGAAGCACTCAGATTTTTGGCCACCTCCATCCTTTGTCTTGTGCGTTAACAATCTCCAGTGCTGCCTCCACCTTAGCTCTCTTTCAGGCCTTGGAATACAGGTGTTAAGTTGAGTTCTGGTACTGACAGCCCCAAGAGCTACCAGAGCTCCCACTAGCATCTTTCATTTTTTTACAACATCTATTCTTGGTCAGTCTTCCTGGAAATTTTGAGAGTTGAAAGGCTCTTTACTCTTCAGTGACAAATTAGTCTACCAAGTACATTCATCTCACTTTTCAGAGAGTAGAAGCTTAAGTTTGTAAAGCCAATTCTTCAGGAACAATTCTGCACACTTTTCTCGAAATTGGGTTAGGATTACATGGAAAAACGCGGAGTGGTGGCCCATTGGAAAAACTTCCCTTTGTCCTTAGGATCATTCTGGGTGCTGTGTGTGAGTTCATGACTGTGCACGCTGTGTGCTCTATGTAGATAGATGTGCATGCATCTGTCCATTAATGACTTTTTAAAATGTCTCCAATTTCTACACTGCTATTCATATATCTTAACAAAACTTAGGTAGTATTAAGGACATTTTCTTTTAATAAAGATATTCAACTTACTTTTGAGGCCAGTAGGTTAAGCCTAAGGAGTTTAGCCACGACTCAGGAATAAACGCCCATACAAGATACAATACTGTAGAAAAGGGAGTGGTGGAGGGAGAGAGGTATCAGTAAGGTATGCAGTCAATCTATTAAGGTTCAGAGGAAACAAAGACGTTTCTTTGAAGCTTTCCTTGATCCACCTGTAAATTACTTTTCTCTCAGGTTTTCTAGCTCAATATTTACTAATCATCTTTCTAGTACTTCCTACCATTACTTTATTATCGTTACTTATTTTATATAAGCATACTAACTTTCACCTTATATTTTAGGCCATTTAAGAGTAGAAGTCATGTCCTGGCAATTGTAATTCTTAAAATTCCAAATAATTTTGCTTTATGCATAGTAGATGGTTTATATTTTATCACCAGTGAGGTAGGAATAATGATGAGATTCAGTTACTTACATGTGAATTTATCCTCCCCCTCCCACCTTACTTTGACAGTACTGCATGTTATTACTTTACAATCTTATTTCCATAAATCTCAACTCTTTGTGGCACACTATCTGCTGTATTTCCTGTGTAATAAAAATAGATAAAATCTGAGGAAACTTTAGGCTAAGCATACTTATGAACACTTCACATGCTTTGCTTCATTTAATCATCAAAAAATCATTTGGGGTATGTATACAACTTTTACAGATGAGGGAATGAAATTTTAAAACAACAACAACAAAAAAACCCAATAAAAAACCCCCTGAGAAAGGAGCTCTGATAGTTGTGGTGGTGTTGTTTTGTGCCATTGAGTCACTATATAGTGACCCTATGTACAAGAGCCCTAAACACCGTTCTATCCTGTGCCAACCTCGCTGTCTCAAACACATTCATTCCCACCACTCCACTCACAGAATCTATCCATCTCATTGAGGATCTTCCTCTCCTGCACGATCCCTCCACTCTTCCAAACATGATGTCCCTTTCCAAGGACCAGTTCCTCCTTGCAATATGCCCAAAGTATGTCAGACGAAGCTTCAGAATCCTTGGCTCCAAGGAACATTCCGGCTTCACTCTCTCCAGGACAAACCTGTTTGTTCTCCTAGCAGACTGTGGTATATTCAACACTCTTCTCCAGCACCACAGCTCAAAGGCATCAATTCTCTTTCTATCATCCTTATTCACTGTCCAACTCTCTGATGCATAGCACACAATTGCAAAGACTATAGCTTGGATCAGGCACACCTTAGTTTCCAGCCTGACGTCGTTGCTCTTCAGTACTCTGGAGAGGTCCCTCACAGCTGACTTTCCTAATGCAATTTGTCTCTTGATTTCCTGGCTGCTGGTACCAAGAGTGTTGACTGTGGAACCAACTAAACTAAAATTGTTAACTATCTCAATCTCCTCACCATCCATCCGATAGTATAGGAAGGTTAAATCAATTTGCCCAAAGTAAGATGAGCTCTGGTGTCCTAGTGGCAAGAAGCTGCACTACCACCCTGAAGACACGTGGTTCAAGGCCACCAGCCGCTCTGTGGGAGAAGGATGGGCAATCTCCTTCCGTATGATTACCAGTCTCTGAAAACCTGCCGAAGGGCTAGCTACAGGTGGTTCTAACTCTGTGGTACACAACAACAAGACATATAGAGAAATTTTAAACTACTTAAATCAATGATGAGGAGATGATTAATTTTTTCCTTGATGATTATAAGACTCTATATACCAGGTCACTTGTGGTTGCTGTGAGGCTGAATACTGTGACACTGATGTGTCAAATGCATTAATGGTTGGCTACCCAATGCCAGCTGAGAGCGGGGTGGAGCTCCCCAATTAAACAAGCATGGAAGGAGGAGTGGCATCCACTTCCATAATAGCTTGCCTCCGGAAACCCTATGAACTTGGAGAGAGGATGAAAGGCACCCAAGTGCCAAGGACTCTCCTTCATAGGGTCGCTATGAGTCGCCTGTGACTCGACACTTAACAACAAACAACA